AGTAGGGAGGCAAGGCTGGCATAGCTGTCAGGTATAGTGTGGGTCTGACTCCAAGTGAAGGAGAGCAGAAGGAAGGAAGGAAGACAGGTTGGGTGAAAGTCTCTTAGGTTCCAGTGTGGTCCGAGGAAGGTTTGGCAGGGCCGCCAGGGAGTTCTGATTGTCTGTCAGGGGATCCCTGTGTCTCTGAGGACGGGCCTGCTCAGAATCGCCCGACACTGGTCACTGTCTGGGAGTGGGGCCCCTGTGTGCACGTAATGATGGATTTTGAATGCAGCTCCTGGGGTCCCTGGGTTAGTTAAGGAAGGAAGGAAGGTGAAGTCGCTCAGTCGTGTCCGACTCTTTGCGACCCCATGGACTGTAGCCCACCAGGCTCCTCAGTCCATGGGATTTTCCAGGCATGAGTACTGGAGTAAGTTAAACTTCCTGTAATTGGTGGTCTGTGTATTTCCATTTGTATGACAGACTCTTCCTTTCTCTAGAAAATTTTTATTAGCCAGTAGAAGCAGAACCTTCCTTCAAGTTAAGCCGCTCTATCTTATGACTTTTTAATTACTTTGGAGTGTGGAATACATTTTTTAAAAAGAAGAAAAAAAAAAGAAGGGGAGGCTGCTGGGGTGGGGAAAGGCGTGGAGAGGGATGGGCTAATAAACTAATTCAGAGTTCTCTTAAAAGGCTCAGCAGTGCCACAAGTGTCCTTTGTAGGTACAGAGGGGACAGAGAGTAAGAAAAACGAGTTATTCCCCAGTTCTGAATTTGTGGCAAAAGGCTGGACGGCTGCCCCTAGGGTGTCAGCATGCTCTGCCCACTCACATTTTTATCTCTGTTCCTTTATACTGTGGAGCTAGTGAGGAGGTAGATCTGTCCCCCTGGGCCTTGCTCATTGGCCTCAGCGATGTCACTGCCTGTGCTTCCAGTGGTTCCAGTAGGGCCCTCCAGAGCCTGGACCTCAGGCTGCAGGAGCCTGAAGACCAGCCCGGCTCAGTCCTGCCAGTCCTCCCGGGGCTATTTGCCGGGTGCTTTTTCCTTGAAAAGTATTCAGAGGTGCCACAGGCTTTAGAGACGCGTCCCCCTGCCGTTCCTCTTCCTCTTCTCTTCCCTCCTCCACCGCCTCTTCCATTCCCGTTTGAACGTGAAAGGTCTTCATTCCCTGGCATATTTTGGAGACCACAGCTCATTGAGGACAGAGAGTAGCAAAACTGAAAATTTCCTCCCAAAGCTACCACATTAAAAAAGAAGTGGTTCCAGGTATAATTTGGAGCTCTGAGTTTTCTGAGGACAGTTAAACTGAATTTGGCTCTAGTTACTATTCAGTAATATATCTCTCCTCCACAGTTGAAGCCAAATTTGATTTATAATCCCATAAAGGTAGGTCATTAGCTTTTCTTTCTCTCTTTAAAAACATTTTTTTCCTGAAAATTTTTTCCGTAGAAGACTATTAGAAAAGTGAGGGAGAAGGGTGATCTCTTTGTTGTTGTTTTTCTCTATAATGTTTGGAAAAGGAAGGAGATGTTTAAAACAAGTTTAAAGCAAAGAGAAGAATCAAGTCATTTTTAAGACATGCAGAACCTCCTTCTGATTCAAGCTATTGAGATAATACATTGAGTCTGAATTGTCCCAGAGCACCCACACTAGTCAGAGACTTAGGAGAACTTGAGTCTAGTCTTGAGTGGCTATTAACTATGGGGACACCTTGCTCAAGAAACTGCACTGCTCTGGGTCTTATTTGAGAGATGATGGAATAGGAAGGATATACAATGTGTGGGGAGGAGTAGAGAGCCTTTAGTTCTCTAGGTGTTGGAACATCATCCAGACCTTGAGGAGACTGGGTTAAAATGCTCCAACCATATTTGCCTCAGGTTCTTTGAATAACTGAAACACTGTTGAGTCCTGTCTACCCTCCAAACCCTTTGAGTTATTTTGATAATTTCTTTATCCCTTCATAGATTGAATGGATTCGTGCCAGGATTACTGTAGTTGTTGTTTAGTTGCTCAGTTGTGTCTGACTCTCTGCGACCTCATGAAACTGCAGCACCCCAGGCTTCTCTGCCCTTCACCATCTCCTGGAGCTTGCTCAAACTCATGTTCACTGAGTCAGTGATGCCATCCAACCATCTCATCCTCTGTGGTTCCCTTCTCAAGGATTACTACAAGTAATGCAAGGATTATTACAAGACCTTTAAAGGGAAATATAATGGGATTTTATGACTTAAGTGGATTTTAATGGAATTTTCAGAAAAAGAAAATTATTAAGTGAAAAGATGTTTGTTTATTTTTTGGCCAGGATTTTCTATACGGATACTCACATCACTTTAAAAAGGAAAGTATTTTCTGCCTGCTGTGGCCCCTTCTGATATTCCTCAATAAAATAACATAAGATTCCCTGGGAGTCGGGAGTCCTGGGAGTCTGGAGTCCTGGGAGTCCTTCTCTTCAGATCTTCCAGAGAAAGAAATATATTATTCTATATTATTTGCTTCATTATTCTTTCCTTTTGATGAAAGTATTAGTTGCATTCCTTAGACTTGCAAGGAAGAGTCTTGCCCAGATCACCTTCAGCAGAGGCTTATAGCAGGCTGGGAGGAAATGTGGGCCAGCACACGATGCTTCCTCTTCCTCAGGGGTGCAGTCCTGAGAAGAAAGCTAGACACCTGGTCTCAGAATCCACCTACCATTACTGTGGGCTCCATCTAGGCTCCATCTAGGGCCTGATTGTCTCCAAGGAGAGGATTGGATTGGGTGGAACTGGGTCTTCTCAGGCTTCCCAGGTGGTGTTAGTGGTAAAGAAACCAATGCAGGAGATGCAAGAGACGCAGGTTTGATCTTTGGATCGGGAAGATTCCCCTGGAGGAGGGCATGGCAACCCACCCCAGTAATCTTGCCTGGAGAATCCTTTGACAGAGGAGCCTGGCGGGCTACAGTCCATAGCATAGTAAAGAGGCGGGAACAACCGAAGAGACTTAGCGTGCACACATGAGCCTTCTCGTCATGGAGCTCAAGGACTGGGCAGGTCTGGCCAGCCCCTCTGTGACACTTGACCTTGCTCATGTGCAGGCAGTGCTGATTCTGAGTCCCATCGATCACAGCTGATTAGCAAAGACGGTTCATCAGTTGCATACAGCGTAAGCCAAGTCACCCACACTGAGAAAGAACCCTCTTTGAGGTTACTTTCCTCTGGAGGGGCAGTGAGTGTGGCAGCTTCTTGGACCTTTATGGGCTTTTTGGTGCATTGAGTTATTAACTCTTCTATTAACTTTGAGCAATTACAGCAGAGTAGCAAGGACTTTAATGAGCAGACTTTCCTGATGGTGAGCACACTGAAGCTGGATCCCTCAAGACCAGAGCAACCTCAGTTGTTAGCACTCCCGGTATTCAGTTCACAGTGGCTGTTCATTGAGTAGCACCAGGAACGGGTCCTGGCCAGGGACAGTGTAATGGGATCCCCATCAGCTGGCTGTCTTTAGAATGTCAAGAGACCCTCCTGTGCCAAGCCCAAGACTCCAGAGGAAGTATGCTGAGATTCTCCTATTAGGGATTTCAATTTACGCCTTTTCATTGGTGTAGAAAAATGGCTGTCAACCATAGGGTCACATCACAATCACCTGAAATGTTTGTTAAAGCTAAAGATTACTGGCCTCACACAAGCTTACACGTCGTCGTATGAATGACTCCAAAGAGCCGGAGCCCTGGCATCTGGAGTTTTGTAAAAACATACAAGCCAGACTTCCACCTTTCAGATGGGTGCATTTTTCTCTATTCTTCCTGCTAAAGTACAGCTGAAAACCCTGACTATTATCTGTAAAACAAACGTAAGATTCTGAAAGGTGGAGAAAAGGCAGCCTGGCTGGGGACACAAGGAAGGAAGCAGTTGTGAGTTCCCTGAGGTTAGTTTTCATCTCGTATATCCCAGACTCAGAGTCAAAGAAGCCTGACACCCAGATATGACACTGGGAATAGACACAGAACCCCAGCAAAGCCTGCTTTCTCTACAACCCAAGCAGGAGGGAAGGGGAGGCACAGCAAGGCAGAAAACTTCCAGCCAGAAAACACGGAAAAGCTCCCTCCACCCCAGGCCAGCAAAGACTGTGAATGGGCAGCCTAGACGCTCCCCTTGCCAGGAGTAACAAGGGACTGCAGACTCCCCAGCCGAGAAGAGTGTAGGACTTCCAACCCTTCAAGCTGGTAATGAACCCACTCCCCATGTTCTCTTCCGTGGAGAGCTAAGAGTGTTCCCCCCAGGTGTCCTGAACGCACTGCCCCTGACAAAGGCCAGTGAAGGTGGAGCAGAGTTCTCTGTCCCTGCAGCAGGTGCGCCTGAGGGCTTGATTTGGCTGCTTCCCCCGATGTACCAGGGTGCCGCTGACTTCATCAGGCATCTGGGGTTCCAGTATTGCCCTAGAATCCTCTCCCGCTGCCATCCTCCATTCCCGTTCCTGTCCACTCCCCCAGCTGCTTAGCGTCCATCTCCTTTGTGTTCACAGTAGGTTAGGTTCACAGCCAGGTGAATATCCTATTTGGAGTGACTATAAATGTACTAGTTAGCTGGCCAGGCTTGCGTTCAGCCTTTTCCTCTGCTCTTTAAGGGAGGGAGGCTGGGGTCCACATTGCACATGAATTTGATCGCATCATTCAGTCTCTGTGGCAACTCCTCTCTTCTGTTCTCCCTGCTTCTCCTGCTCCACTGGAGTGATGTATGATCTTTTTTCCTGGTTACTTCTCCACAAAAGTGTAATTTAGACTGTGGTCCCCTGAGACCCTTTGGCTCCTGCCTACTCTCTGCACCCTAGAGAGACACTCTCCTAAAGTGCTTGAAGGAGACACATCAGACCAGATACTTGACATTTTCCACTTGTCCATTTGGAGCAATCCACTCCAGGCCTCTTAGAGGGAACAAGGCCAGAAGCAAACGCATGTGTTTGCGTAAGCATTAGTATCTCAATGTGTGCCCTGGTTCTGTAGCTGAGGACAAGCCTAACTTATTCATTTATAGCTTCTTTTATTGCAGAAAAAGGAGTGGACGTGGGATGAGAGCAAGATGCTGGTGATGCAGGACCCTATCTACAGGTAAGAGCCCCGTCTCCAGGGTCCATCTGTCGGGGTGGTAGGTCCAGACAAATAAAAATAAATTTCTCCTTCCCCCTCCTGAGACCTGTTGCTTCTGTAGTTGTAAGTACAAGAAACAGATCTGCCATATCTTTTAGAGAGGAAAATTCTTCTCTTAATTGCACGAAGGGAACTTTGAAGGGTTTCTGCTTGATGTTTAATCCAACTCTTTTAGTTGTAGCTTGAGACCTTTTCATTTGGTATCAGTTATATTTTAACTGAAATTTCATGATTGTATGTATGTTGATCAAAATGAGAGAAGTGGGTTTTTCCATTACCCTATGCTTATAATTTCCCACAGTTAATCTGTTCTGCCTTTCTGCCCCCTCAGACACTGAGCATGGATAAGGGGGTTATGTTCATTTGGGGCAGCAGGAAGTCCCAATTAGAATCCATAGAAATTGCGTTCACGGGGAGACGGGTATTCCTACAGAGACTAGATGACTGCCGTCCATGTGTACCCCGGGCAGAGGAGTGCCTGATGGAGACACACACACAGCCAGGGCCCTGCTGGGACCCACACAGGCTCTTGATCCTGTGTGTCTTCCTTCTGTCCTGGGTCTCTGCTGGCCAAGCCCTGTCCCCCTCTTCCTCCTTCCTGTTTTTTTCCACTGGGGAAAGGGTATTAGCTATTCCTTTAGGATTTGGGGGTTCTAGATTTAAGTTCTGATTTTATCTCCTCTCAAATTACTTGCCTTGGCTGGCAAAGTGAATTAAGGTTGGAACTCACCTGAGAAGTCAGCATTTATGGTGGCCTTGCCATCTAGATTAAAGAGTAGATAACTGTGAAATGGAGTTTCCATTCATTCAAACAAATATACGCATTTAGAACACTTATCCTGGGTACTATGCTAGGTAATTTAGTAGATGACTAAAATAAGTCCCTTGTTCTCAGGAAGTTTTAGTGAAGTAGGGAAATGGAATACTGAACAAATCATTGTAGTACAAGACAGTGTGTCTGACAAAGTGAATTTCATTCTGTTTCCTTGGTACTTGTGTTTGTTGAAATAATTGTTACGTGTTACTGCCACTTAAAAATGTATCTTTTACCACTAGGCTATGAGGCTCTTATCAGTGAAGAGCTGTGTTCAACTCACTTTTGTATTTCTAGCACCAAGCCTGTGTCTGCTCTCTATGAGGCATTTAGTAAATGTGTGATGGGTAGATGGATAAATGTATTGAATTAATAATCCAAAAATTAAGTTAACGTAAGTGTTATGGTGATTCACGAGAGGCAATGATCACTTTCTACTAAAGTGATAAGGAAAGGCTTCAGAAACAAGTTGCATCATAAGGGGCTTGAAGGATGTGAATGGACAAACCTCTGTCATTTGCACCTTGTGAAAGGAAGAGTTTCTTGGTTTTTTGCTTTTACTTTTTACAGTGGCATTATATACATATAAAAGTGACCTCTATGTGGGTGCTGGCCATGAACTTTAATCTTGCCTTTTTCCTGGTTTGAAAGAAGAAACTTTCCCCAAAGTTTCATATCCCAAATAAGCTGTTGTTTTTATTTATTCTTATAGCAGCTTTATTGAGGTATAATTGACATACAGACATTGAGCATATTTAACATGAATAATTGGGTAAATTCTGACATATTACATTTGACTTCTAGAATTGTCACCTCAGCCAAGATACTAAGCATATGTCTCCCCCCAAAGTTTCCTTGTGCCATGTTGTATTCGTTCCCTCTCATCCCTCCCTGCCCCATCTCCCTTCCTCCTTCCCCAAAAGTCCCCAGACAGCTACTCATCTCCCTTCTGTTACTGGAGATGAGTTTGTATTTTCTTGAGTTTTGTATAAATAGAATAAAAAGTATATAGTAGAGTATACCCCTACTTTTTCTTGGTCTGGCTTCTTTCATTTAGCATAATTATTTTAAGATGAATTCCTTGCCACTGCATATATCAGTAGCTTATCCCTTTTTATTACCAAGTTGTTTCCCGTTGTATGGGCTTCCCAGGTGGCACTAGTGGTAAAGAATCCACCTGCCAATGCAGGAGACACAAGAGATGCAGGTTTCATTCCTGGGTCGGGAAGATGTCCCAGAGTAGGAAATGGTAACCCACTCCAGTATCTTTGCCTGAAAAATTCCACGGACAGAGGAGCCTGGCCGGCTGCAGTCCATGAGGCCGCAAAGAGTCGGATACAACTGAGCGCACTGATCGTGTCCCATTGTATAGCACAATTTACTTAGCCATTCACATTTAATGGGCATTTTGGTGATGTCCAGTTTTTGCCTGTTACCGTGAAAACTTCTACAACTGTTGATATACAGTCTTTCTGTAGATATATGTGTTTGTTTTTCTTGGGTGAATACCCAGGAGTAGAATGATTATTTGTTAGGTGTATGCTGAGCTTCTTTTTAAAGTGAATTTTAAGTGGTTATCTCTTTGGTTGGTGAATCTCAGAGTGACTTTTAAGGTGTGTCTCTTTGTTTTTTGGCTGCACCATTCTTTATTTATTTACTGGCTGTGTTGCAGGGGCATGCAGGATCTTAGTTGCTGCTGCTGCTAAGTCGCATCAGTCATGTCCGACTCTGTGCGACCCCATAGACGGCAGCCCACCAGGCGCCCCCATCCCTGGGATTCTCCAGGCAAGAACACTGGAGTGGGTTGCCATTTCCTTCTCCAATGCATGAAAGTGAAAAGTGAAAGCGAAGTCACTGAGGCGTGTCAGACTCTTCACGACCCCATGGACTGCAGCCCACCAGGCTCCTCCATCCATGGGATTTTCCAGGCAAGACTACTGGAGTGGGCTGCCATTGCCTTCTCCAGGATCTTCCTTCCCCTACCAGAAATAGAACCTGTGCCCCCCACAGTGGAAGCATGGAGTCTTAACCACTGCCAAAGAAGCCCCTGTTGAATTTTTTATGAAACCGCCAAATTTTTTTCTAAAGTGATTGTCCCGCTAGTTCCTTCACATCTCTGCCAGCATCTAGTATCATCAGTCTTTTTAGCCCTGCATATTGGCGTAATATAGTATCTCATTGTGGTTTTAATTTGCATTTTCCTAGTGAGTAACTATGTTGAGCACCTTTCTATCACATGTGCCATTTGTATATCTTTTGTGAAGCATCTGTTCCAGTCTTTTAACCCATTTTTAATTTAGGTGTTTTGCTTTCTTTTTATTGAGTTTTGAGAGTTCCTGATAAATTTTGGGTACATGTCCTTTATCAGATATATGATTTGCAAATATTTTATTCAAGTCTGGGTTGTTTTTATGTCAGTAGTGTCTTTTGAAGAAGTTCATATTATATCATTTGTGCTTTTGGTGTCATATCTAAAAAATCTTTGCTAACTCAAGGTCACAAAGATTTTCTTCTGTGTTCTCTTCTGGAAGCGTTATAATTTTAGACTTTAGGTATATGATCTATTTTGAATCAATTTTTATATGATGTGAGGAAAAAGTATTTTGGGGGCAGTTTTGTTTTGTTTTTGCTCTGCAAATGAATGTCCAGTTGTTCCAGGCTCATTTGTTGAAAAGATTGTTCTTTCTCCACTGAAGTACCTTTGTTGAAAATCAGTTATCTGTATCTCTGTGGTTTATTCAGAACTCTTTATTCTGTTCCCTTTATCTAATTGTCTGTCTTGATACCAGTACCACAGTGTCTTGATTGCGGTAACTTAACAATCATTGAAATCAGATAGTCTTAGTCTTCCAACTTTGTTCTTTTTCAAAGATTTCTTCCCAATTAGTATAAATATGGTATATCTTTTTCCATTCATTTTTTAAGAAGAAAAATGGGTTTTGGTGGGGAGTAGAAGACATCAAAGAAATCTTTTTTATTTTTTCAAAGAAATCTTAAAGTGAATTTTTCTTTGGCCAACCCCCACCTTAAAAAAAAAACAACACAAAACCCTCCATACAGCAGACTTTCTGGTTGTAGATGTCTTGTGAGTATCTTCCTGATGTATCAAAATTCAGCAGCCTGTGTTTTTTGAACAAAAGAACGACATTTTCTTAATGCTATTCCAGTTTCCTAGTTACTTTTCCCCCCTCCTGAGTTTTTTTCCCTCATGTATTAAATTGTGTTTTAGTCTCTGTACATGTGTGTATATATCTATGTGCTGTGGGTAGATGAAAGAGGACTTTTTTCTAAACTGTGTGTCCCCTTTTGTCATCAATAAGAACATTTATTATCATGATAATATATAGTAACATTTACAAATGAGCTTTTTCTTGGGGTTAATTATTTTCCTGCCCTCAAGTAACCACTCTAGTTGGATTCAGTAGCACTGTTGAGGAATCCGTAACTGCTCTGCCTTTGATTAGCAACGTTCATGTTAGGAAAGCTCCTTTATGGTGAAGACATAGTCTTCCTAGTTAAAAGAGATGACTTTGCGGTAATGAAAAGTAATAATGAGGTAATGAAGCTTTTGTTTTTATTAAGTCAGAGTTTCAGTTTAAATCTCTTGCATCCCTCACATAGAATAATAGAATCATTTTTTAAATTGTGATGAAATATATACATATGTGTGTATATATCTGTGTGTGTGTGTATAAACATAAAGTTTGCCATTCTGTCCACTTTTAAGTATACAAACGAGTGGCCTTCATTACATTGACTGTGTTGTGCAGTCAGCATCACTATCTACTTCCAAGATGTTTTCATTACTCTAAACTTTGCATCCATTATGTACAAACTCCCTACTCCTTCTCCTTGAGCCGCATGTAACTTTTACAGTCAAGAATTTTAAGATGATAAAGTGCTGTGGTGAACATCTGGTTCATTTCCCCTCCATTACAGGATGCCTCTATTTCTCCAAAATATTTGCTATTATGGCATTCTTCATTCAGTGAAGGCAAATGTCTTTATTTATGTAATTTTTGTCCATTTATCCTAGCTCTCTTCTCTGGAGCCACATATATATTGATCTTATTCCCTTAAAGTTTCTGAAGCCATTCTTCATATTTTTTCTAGACTTCCTAATTTCAAAACATCATACTTCTTCATA